GTTCCCTGAACTGATGACCAGCTGAATAGGGACAAGAGATCAGTGTGCAAGAAAAAGGGGCTCCTCAGGCATGGCCAGGGGGGATGGGGAGCAGGAAAGGACTTCTTGCAGCTGTCAGGTGTGTTTGGGGGCCGTAATGAGGGGTTTGTAAGAGCAGCTGGCTCCCTTTGAGAAGGGGCAGAGGGACCATTTGTCAGCTCTAGGAACATGGGGGGCCTATGGGGACTTGATATAGTGTGTCCAGTCCTCTTAAACTGTCTGTTTTCTCTGTGGGGTGCTATACAAGAGGTATCTTGTAGCCTGGGATCCTATAGCTTTGGTACATGCATCCCAGCAGAGGTCTGGGGACATATTTGTTTGAGACCTTTGCCAGCTGGGAAGGAGGCACCCTGCATTTTGCAGGCAGACAAGGCAGTCCTAGGGTAGGGGGTGGAGATCTTCACACTCCCCCCGCCCTTGCTCTTGGCTGGACTGCCCCACTCTGGCAAGCTGTGGGCCTCCTATTTCCGTCGGGCACCAGGGTAACAGGGCGACATTAGGGACTGAGCCAGGAGACGCCCAGCCAAGACTGGGACTTGGGGATGGGGGAGGGTTCCTGAAGGATCAATCTGCAGGGTCCGGCAAAGATTCTGGGGTTCATGATCCCTATTCAGGTTATATTCTATTCACCAGTCCTAGATAAGCTCTATGGGGGCCTGCAACCCCTTGTCCACACATGCTATTTGAGTCACATCACCCGCACCATGAAATCCCAGGAGTTGTCTGCAACTGTGAGGGCAGCAGTGGAAGCCAGAGACAGGGGGCCTTGTGTATGGGGTGGCAGGGGGGCCAGTGCGGGTGGCTGAGAGGAAGAGTCCCCCCTCTCATTCCTGCCGTCCTCTTGGCAGTGATTCAGAAAGGTCCTTTTTCAGCCAGTGTCAGAGCTGCTCAGCTGGGAAGGGAGGGAGGAGGGAAGGCGGGCAGACAGGCAGGCAGCAGTCGGGTGGGGGAGCCAGGGAGTAGGGCTGGAGCTGTGGCCACTGCACTGGAGAGAAGACAGAAACAGACAGGACCCAGGCTGCAGCCAGTTGTAGAAGTACAGCGGGGCTTGCAGTAAATCAGAGGGGACTACTCTGTTCTTCTGCCCCATTTCTCATACTCATCCCCCGTGTGAGATTTGGGGGACTTGGAATAGACCTCTGGTCAACTTCCCACTGGGCAGAGCATAAAACTCAGGAGCTGAGGCCCTTGTTCGCCCATTCCCAGGCCACAGCCCCATTGACCTGATCAGAGTTGAGTTCTGTGGAGATGCCGGCAGCTCCAGCTCGTCGGTTCCCTGGCCTAGAGCTCTCCTTCCCTCTCCTGGCCAGACTGCGGCGACGGCTGTACACAGTGAGTGGGGGGCTAGGGTTGGACTGGCTGGGACAGGGGCAGCTCCTCATCAGCAGCACTTTACTGAGGGGCATAGGAAAACTGGGGATGTTGTAGAACACCTCCTGTGAGGGCTTCAGTGGGGGTTCTGGGCTAAGTGGTCTTTCCTTTCCATCTGCTACATTCATTCTGATTTGTATGTGTTAGAAAAGTAGAAGCAGGAGCCCGCTCAAGTGTGTGCTTGTATGTCAGCTGCACGTGTCAGACACACGTATGCAAAATCTACCCCATGCTGGGGGCCAGGCACACGCAGAATTGGACTGTCTGAGCTGGAGGAAGTTGTGGCAATACTCTGCTTCCACAGACAAAGAAATGGGCTGGAGGTGGAGATAGGAAAGGGGAGGTAAACTGTCCAGGGTCACCCTGGGCTTAGCAGCAAAGACAGGACTGGGACCCTGACTCCTTTCTTCTCACTGGGATCCCAGTGTTCTTCCCAGTCTTCCCACACACCCCCTACGCAGCCATCCTGTTCTTTAGGCTGGGGAGCAGGGTGGGGGGTGTCCAGCTAAGCAATTTTTTAGCTGGTGTTTCAGGAAAAGGGTACAGACCAGGCTGTGCTTTCTAAGTAGCTTCAGGATAGGCCCTCTGGGTTTTCCTCAGCCTTGATCACCCATGGCATGACTTTGAGCTGCTTTCCAGAGCCGAGAGGAGGGTAGGAATAGGAGAGCCTGGGGCCCTGGAACTTGGTTGAAGGAAAGGAGAGGAGGGGACCTATAGACTGCTTGCCCTGGTGTGGCAAACTTCTTGAGGCTTATCTGTATCACCAGTGGGACCACTTTGCTCCAGGGATAAGGCAGTGATGATGGAAATGGTGGTGGGCTCTGCTTGGCCTGGCTACAGGGAGACCTGCCCGGGCCAGTGGTTTTCACACTGTACCTTTGGGCTTTATTCTGGGAAGCATTGATGCTCATCCACTTAAATGTCAAGCCCCCATTTTTGCAAGCAGATATTTTTGCTGAGGATAACAAGTTAATACAGTTAAAAGTTTAGTAAGCATAGTTTTGAAGTGTTGTATTTAAAAAAAATCTTACTCTTCTTAAATACAATAGAAATGTAACCAGTTTACTGTATGTAGTATCAGATAATCATAATGCCAACTTTACTATTAAGGAGAAATAAAATGGAAGTAGTTGACAATATTTTATGTATTCAGTATACACCTGTATACTGAACACATAAAATATTGAACAGCATAAGAAGTTGTCAGATTCTAGGACCTCAGGAAGACAATGTCTACAAGTGCTGACAGGAAAGTTTTGAAATAAGGGTGGATTGCCTTCACTGACATTTTTCTAAATCGTAGGCTTTTACTATGTTCTGAATAAAGCAAAATCTAATCTTCTTTCAGTTTACATAGTAGTTTCATTCAAGAAAAACTCAGTGCATATTGAAACTATGAAAATACTTTCTTATACCTGTGTAAAATGGAATTAGTCTAGGTGTGGAGGATTATGAATGTTTTCTACCTGCAGGAATTAAGTTATGTGGGTTTGGGACAGTGTTTATGACGGTCCTGTGCACTGCAGGATAACTCATGTTTGTATCCTCCAGACACCCACTAAATGTCGCAGTATCCCCCACCCAACATTGTAACAACCAAAAATGTCCCCTAGAGGGATGTGCTTCCCTATGACAACCATCCAAATAAAGGGTTACAGCTTTAAGTTTGGAAACCACCCGGCTGGCCCAGCTGCCTGGCTCAGTTGCCTTGGTGGAAGAGCCAGGGTTTGAACTGAGGGCTTCTCATTCCCATTTGTCACTCTTTGTGTTGCTCTAAGCTGCCTGGGAAAGTCTGAGCTCTTGGCACTGAGTTGGCAGGACCACTGGGAACTGTGGGGGCAGGAGGCTCATGCTGGGCCTGGGTTGTGAGTGCCTGTTTCTCTTGGTGCATCTTATTGTGCTGAGAGCTGGGGATGAGGCCACCGCTAGGTTGTGAAGGGAGAATTGCTTGGCCCTCAGCCGGACAGCTGGCCTTTTCCCTCCTGCCTGTATTCCTCACTGGAAATGCAGTAATGGTCAGGGGCTGGCCTGACGGACCTGTTTTACTTGGACAGGGTTGGGCCTGCAGTCTGGTAGGTTAGCCTGTTTAGTTTTGAAGGTGCCACTGGCCTTTTTCTCTGGGTCTGAGAGTGTAGGTCAGAGGTCACTTACTGGTACTCATTGGCTGATTGTGGCCTGCAGATGTTTTGTTTTGCCAGCACAGTGTGTGTGTGTGTCTGTGTGTTTTTCAGACTTGAACTAGTTGACATCATTTAAAAGTCAGGAGAAAGATAAAAGTGTGATATGAAATCAAGAAACAGAACAGTGTGGGTAATGTGTGAATATTTATTTGTGAGAGGGGAAAACAGTTTCAAGGGGTACATAAAAGGCATTATTAGCATCTGGCCTTGAGAATAGGGAGATAGGTAGCTGTGCAGTAGGGGAGGAAATAATAAGACTCCTTTGTGCCTTTTGATTATTTTACTATGTGTACATACTACTTTTAAAAAAGAAATTGCAAAAAAAAAAAAAAACAAACTGCAAGATTTTACGTAAATTTAGGTGTCTGATATTAAATAAATGGAAAGCTTTGATAATACTGGGCCACAGTCTCTTGTGACAACCATTGATAGGAGCTGAGCTGGGGTTGTCTGAAAGCCCACTCAGATCCCCACCCATCCCACTTACTTTGTGGCCCTGCAGGCATCTGAGTGGTTGCCTGTGAATTGGCCTTAGAATTGGTGGAAAAGGTCTGGTGATGTTAGGCATTGGGAGGAACTTCGGTTAGATCTTTCTGTAAGATAAACCTGATCTAAGGAGCCCATGGATGGGTAACAGGACATTACCATCCCCCAAATTTTTTAATTAAAAAAAATTTCCTTTTAATTTGTGATGGGTTTCTTTTTATATCAAGGTTTTATTTTTATCTTTATTTTTTAGGTGTAGTTGGACACAATGCCTTTATTTTATTTATTTATATGCGGTGTTGAGGATCGAACCCAGGGCCTTACATGTGCTAGGTGAGCACTCTACTGCTGAGAAACACCCTCAGCCTTTAATAAAAATTTTAGGAGCAAAAGTAGGTTTTTGGGCTGGGGATGTGGCTCAAGCGGTAGTGCGCTTGCCTGGCATGCATGCGGCCCGGGTTCGATCCTCAGCACCACATACAAAGATGTTGTGTCTGCCAAAAGAAAACTAAAAAATAAATATTGAAAAATTCTCTCTCTCTCTCTCAAAAAAAAAAAAAAGTAGGTTTTGTTTTCTGAAGAAATTATATATAGTTTTTAATCAGATTTTCAAAGGGCTTTTAAAGACCTCTAGAAACTTAGAAGCAGGTGAGGAAATTGAGCACAAAGAGATGATTTCTGGTCACAACAGCCATAGATCATATATGTTGTGATTAAGACTCTGACTCCTGACTGTTCCAGGGCCAGGGCTATATCTTAGCTGCTGCAGTTCTACCCTTGTTGATGGCAAGAATAGGTACATATAGGTATAGAGTTTTGGGAAGCAAGCAGGTGGTCTCAGTTCTAGGCATCTATATAGTAAGATGTCACTTTGCCACTTCCCTGCATCCCTTGGTCCTTGAGCCATTTTTCCTTTCTCCACAGAGGCTGGGGAGCAGCAGCATGCAGCCAGAGGAGGGCACAGGCTGGTTGCTGGAGTTGCTGTCTGAGGTGCAGCTACAGCAGTACTTCCTTCGTCTTCGGGATGACCTCAATGTTACCCGTTTGTCCCACTTTGAATATGTTAAGAATGAGGACCTGGAGAAGATTGGCATGGGCCGGCCTGGTAGGTGGGACATTTGCCTTCCTTGCTTTTCCCCTCTGACCATTAACTTCTTCTGTCTTTTTTGGTGGTACTAGGGATTGAACCCAGGGCCATTCTCCCACTAAGTTACCTCCCCAGCCCTTTTTCTTTTGAGACAGGGTTTTGCTAAGGTGCAGCGGCTGACCTTGAACTTGAAAAGTTGAAAAGACTCCTTTCTCATCCTCCCTAATAGTACCTTCTCTGTCCTTAGGACGGCTGAGCACATGTTAGAATCCCTTTCTCATGGTTCCATGGGGTGGCAGCTGAGACCTCTGTTTGCCTGTTCCAGAGACCCTGAGGTGGAGTGGGAGGGGCATCAATAGATGCTGCACACAGGATTCACTGGGAACAATTTGCAGTTGTAAAGGTCAATCAGTTTGAGGAGAATGTAGTCTTAACTTGAGGCTCTGCTACTCAAGAGTAAATACATACCCCTTTTTGTTTGATCAGATATTTGTAGGATGTATTCCCTTACCCTTTAATAAGCACAGATTTGGACTGTTCTGTTTACTATTCTGAACACTAGTGGGGTCAGTGCCCAGAGATCTAAAAGAGAAGATAGGATAAAAACTTCCCTCTAATTTGAACTCATTTCTGTGTTTCTCTCCTTAAAGAAATGGTTGTAGCATCTAGAACTCCTGGCATTCTTCAAAGAACATTAGAAACCTATCAGTACATTCAACTTAAAGTAGCTAGGGTAGTAATGTGCTAAAATAGATATCAATTTATTCTGCTTTTAGCTTGGATAGTTGGTTTCTGATACCAGTAACATAAGAAAATTTTATGAGAAGAAAACTAAAAATTGAGAAAATTTAATCCATTACCTTGATTTTTCTTGAGTTGAAAAGACTGCTACTATTCAATTTTTGTGGTTAAACACTTCCATCTAGTTTGAGAACCATTGCCTAGAAGTGGTATGCAGTGATCATCTGGTTAATGGAAACTCCTGGCAGGTTGAGATTGATTTAGTTAGTATCATTGTGGTGGGCAGTGTCTAGTGATGGGCCTACTCCATGAGGACCGAGGAAGCCTGTGAGGAGGACAGCGGCCTCTCCAGGGAGTGAGAGCTATCTAATAACATCTGATCTCCTTCCTTCCTTGCAGGCCAACGGCGGCTGTGGGAAGCTGTGAAGAGAAGGAAAGCCATGTGCAAACGCAAGTCCTGGATGAGCAAGGTGGGTGAGTGAAGAGTGGGGTCTGGGCAGCCTCAAGAGCCTCACTCTGCTGCCAGTCCTAGAAACCTTCCCCCATTCCCCAGGCAGGTATAATCTCGCTCTGTTTCCCTATACTTTGTACTGACCTCCCTCCTCCAGGGTCTTATCAAGCAGGGCACTTGTAGAGCTGGCCAAAACAGACATGTGAGCAGCCTGTGTGCAGCAAGGTCTTCTTAGCCCCTCTTGGTGTGTGGGAACAGGAGTGTGTTGATGGTGCATCTCTATTTGACCCTCGTTCTGGCTGAATGTTGGGGCCAGTGGCCTTTCTTGGTGTGCGGGGTGGTAGGGACTGTCTGGACATCTTGCCTTGTTTCCTCTTACCCACCCTTTATGATCTCTAGGTATCTGTGGTCATCTGGCCCTATCATAACTTCCTTGTGGCCTCCCCCACTACCTTGTCCTAATTTTGGTCTGTGGTGTAGTCAGTCCCAGGTCTGACTCAGTAGAGCTTTGCCCATTGTCTAGAAGACAATGAGAGAGGAAATGAGCCAGCTGGGACCTCCCTCCCTACTTCTGGCCTCAGGGCTGGCGTAGAATGGGGGATGGGCAAGACAGAACAGCTGGACTGGGATTGGGCAGTAGAGATTTCCTGACTGCAGTCTGGCAAAAGGACTGTCTCTTGGGATCCTGTGGCCTTTTCTGGGGACACGGTTCTGGGCCTGGCCCAGGTTTTAGGGAAGGATGAATGTCTTGGGGCTGGTAAAGGCAGGAAGGTGGAGCTTTGTATGTACTGGGATTTGGGGTCTCCCATCAGCTCACAGTAGGTCTCTGGGAGGTCTGTGACCCTCTCCAGACTTTAGTTGTGTCTTCAGCAACAGTGCTAGTCCCATTACCCAGTTCACCTTGCAGGGCTTTGGAGAGCCTAGGTTCATCCTGGAATTAACGATTGTGAAGGGCCTTATAAGATGACATTGCTTGTAAACATAAGGAAGTCCAGTTTACTGGCAGGAAGGATGGAATGAGGCCAAAAGAGACCCTCAGAATTGAGACACCTCCTAGCACATTTAGATAAGGTTCCATTAACTTTTAAGTGGGATAGAAAGAATCTTCAGCCTGAAGCCATACTCTCGTACCCCAGTGAATGTGGCTAAGTCAGACTGACATGCCACTGCTGCTGTTACACCTTTTTTCCTCCTGTCCTCTGACCTTTGGCCCCTTCCTCTCCAAACTAGACCTCAATGTCTCCTCTAGTCCTCATTCTTTTTCAGATCTTAATTCTAGGCACTCTTCCAGAAACCCAGCTGTCTTCCCAGTAAAAACACACACACGCGCGCGCGCGCACACACACACACACTCTCTCTCTCTCTCTCTCTTTCTCTTTTCAACCTCATACTAAAATTATCCTCTCCCCTGGGCAGTATGAAGGGCAGCCGACTCCCTAGGGAGGGTGGAGACAGACAGCGCCAAATGGTCAACCCAGAGTAGGGGCCAGGGCTAAAAATGGACAGAGAGGTGTTTGTGGAGGGCCCCTCAGGCTCCTGCCCCAACTTTGTGGGTTAAGGGCTGGAATCTGTGATTGGTAGGGAGTGTAGGAAGGGAGGGGTGGAGCATGAGGAAGCCAGGGAGGAGACTCAGACTTAGGAAGCAAAGTGCCTGTGGCTTTGTGCTGTCTCAGTACCCACGTATGGGTGTGAGGCCACCACAGTCACTGGCTTCATGCCAGTCAGTCTGTTTCATATATTTACCATGAAGCCACTCTGTTGTGGGTTCCCTGTAGAGGGGGTGTGATATGGGGGGAGTATGGACTTCCAGCCAGTCTGTCCTCTGGCAATATAGTTCAACTTCTCTGAGGCTGAGCTGAGGTGCAGGTAGACTTAGAAGGGTGGAACCAAGTGACTGGCTCTGGTGCCCTGGGTTCCATCTTGCTCCTGGCTGCCTTCAAACAGGTATTCAGTGGAAAGCGGCTGGAGGCTGAGTTTCCCCCTCACCACTCTCAGAGCACCTTCCGGAAACCCTCGCCCACCCCGGGGGGTCCAGTGGGCGAGGGGCCCCTACAAAGCCTCACCTGCCTCATTGGGGAGAAGGACCTGCGCCTCCTTGAGAAGCTGGGAGATGGCTCCTTTGGCGTAGTACGCAGGGGCGAGTGGGATGCCCCTGCAGGGAAGACGGTGAGCTCCATGTCCCATGGGTGGTGTCGGAGGGGTGGGGCCCCTGAGACTACTAGTAGAGGCTCTTTCCCCCTCTGCTGGGTTGTGAATGCACTTGGGGACAGGTCATATAAAGTAGCTTATCATGGAGTCTGTGCTCAGGGTTAAGTAAGTACATTGTTTCATTTTTTTTAATTATAAAAATAATTTATTTATTATAAAAGTTAGGCAACAAATTAAAAGTCTTAAAAAAATTGCCTGTAATCCCACTACTCAGAGGAAGCAGAGTTAGTGTTTCTGCCTATTATCCTCTCTCCATTAATTTATTGGATTTAGTTGACTTGTACTTCTTTTTCCAGTACTGGGTATTGAACCCAGGGGTGTTCTACCATTGAGCTACATCACCAATTCTTTATATTTTGAGATAGGTTCTTGCTAAGTTTCCCAGGCTGGCCTCAAACTTGGGATCCTCCTGCCTCAGAGTCCAGAGTCACTAGGATTGCAGGCAATCCTGGTGCCACCATGCTCTAGTTAAATACTTAACCACTGAGTCATATCCCTAGCCCTTTTTTATATTTTATTTTGAGACAGGGTCTCACTGAGTTGTTTAGGGCCTTACTAAGATGTTGAGGCAGGCAGGAGGACTGTTGAACTCACAGTCCTCCTGCCTCAGACTCCTAAGCCACTGGGATTACAGGCATGCACCACCATGCCTGGCCTCTAGTTAAATTTTAGATACAAACTTTGGATATAGCTCTTTAGATTTTATCCTTTTTCCTTGGTGTTATATTTTAAATGTTTTTCCCCTAGGGGATAACATGTGCACTAAAGCATACAATTAAGTGAGTTTTTACTTATGAATAGAATCTTATGAGCACTGACCAATTGTGTGTGAGCAATTACCCACACCCCAGAAGGTTCTGAGGCCCCTGCCACTTAGTATCCCCATCCTCCAAAGGAGGGTAGTCCTACTTCCAGCACCGAAGATTAGTTTTTGGCATTGTATTTTTTAGGTGTAGGTGGACACAACACAATGCCTGTATTTTTATGTGGTGCTGAGGATCGAACCCGGATTCCACCTGTGCTAGGCGAGCGCTCTACCGCTGCGCCACAATCCCAGCCCCCATACCAAAGACATTTTTAATAATCTCTTATTATAACATGTTAGTGTTGTGTCATCATATGGGTCATCTCTTACCTTAAGGTTTCTATTTAACTTAACGTTGGAATTTCCCAGAAGGGGAGTCTATCCAATGGCTCCCAAGGGTCAGCCAGTAGTCTTTCCCTCTCCAGACCACTGACAGAATGTGTAAGCCCAGCACTGGTGACATGCCCATCCACCCAGGCGGGTAGATCTGAGGCAGAGATTTTCAAGCGGAGTTAGGGGGAAGAATAGGTTATCTTAAGAGTGTTGCGGGCCAGGCAAGTCCTGACTCCCTACAAATCCTGCTTTGACCAGGTGAGTGTGGCTGTAAAGTGCCTGAAGCCGGATGTGCTGAGCCAGCCAGAGGCCATGGACGACTTCATCCGGGAAGTCAATGCCATGCATTCACTTGACCACCGAAATCTCATTCGCCTCTATGGTGTGGTGCTTACACCACCTATGAAGATGGTGAGTGTTGTGGGCAGGAGGGGCTGAGGACAAGAAGCTGCCTGTAGGTTGTGGTCCCCCAGGTGTGCCTCTCCTACTGCCCATGCTGACAGGGCTCCCCAGATCTACCTGATGTGACAAAGGAGCTCATAGGGGCCCATCTCAATACTTGTTATATCATTTCTGGATTTTGCTATTGCTCATTGGCAAAGAGTTATACCCATGGGAGGGGCTGACCATATATTAATTTTTGGAATTTCTAGCCTGAACCTCTTTGGCCTGCTTCTTTCTCTCTGAGCCTTTTACCCCATTGCCTGGAAGGAGAGACCTGAAAAGCTGTAGGACTTGGGAGGTTCCTAAAGGAGAGGTGTTTAATCAGCTTTTTTGCTGCTGTGACCAAAAGACCTGACAAGAATGATTAGAGGAGGAAAAGATTATTTAGGTACTCAAAAGTTTCAGAGGTCTCATTCTGTAGATAGCTAGCTCCATTCCTCTGGGCTTGAGGTGAGTCTGAACATCAGGGTAGAAGGGTGTGGCAGAGAGAAGTGGCTCAAGACATCACACCAGGAAGCCGAGAGAGAAAGAGAGACCTCTGCTTAACAAGGACAAAATTTGTTCCTCAAAGGCACACCTCCAATGACCCACCTTATCCAGCCACACCCTACCTGCTTCTAGTTAATCCCATTGTGGGATTAATTCACTGATTGGGTTAAGGCTCTCATAACCCATCATTTCACCTCTGAACCTTCCTGCATTGTCTTACATTTGAGCTCTTTGAGGACACATATCTAAACCAGAACAAAATGTTAGGAAGAAACATTGAGTGGGCTGTTCAGAGAGGGGTTGGACTCATTCAGATTTATTCCTCCTGTTTTCTCTGTGGCATCAGGTGACAGAGCTGGCACCTCTGGGATCTTTGTTGGACAGACTACGTAAGCATCAGGGTCACTTCCTCCTGGGGACTCTGAGCCGCTATGCTGTGCAGGTGGCTGAAGGCATGGGCTACCTGGAGTCCAAGCGCTTTATTCACCGTGATCTGGCTGCCCGAAATCTGCTATTGGCTACCCGTGACTTGGTCAAGATTGGGGACTTTGGACTGATGCGAGCACTACCCCAAAATGATGACCACTACGTCATGCAGGAACATCGCAAGGTGCCCTTTGCCTGGTGAGGGGCAGGTGCTGCTGGCTCAGAGGGTGTGGACCCACCCTGGTCCCAACCGACCCAAGCCTAAAGCTTTTGCAGCCCTTGGCTCTGCCTGGGCCTGCCCTTGCCTGTTCTGGGCCTGGAGTGTCCTTACGTAGGGTACTGGAAGGCACAGGCATAAATGCTATGGGCTCAAGGCTGTGCTACTTAGTAAAGTATTAAAAGACTTCCTAGAGGATTCAATGTTAAGGTCCTAAAATATTAGAAGGTTAACGAGGCAATACAGGTTGGTAAGTATGTTTTAGGTAGAGCTACTGGCTGGCAGGGCCAGACTGAACTGGGCCTCATAGGCTGCTCACCTGTGTGCTGTGGTGGCTCCCAAGGTTGTATACCATATGATCAAGAAGTCCCTGACCTCTATGTGGGCTTCTCCTGTGATGAGATCATGTGGTCCCCTAAAGAAGAATGGTCTTTATGATAGGGGGAATTTGTACAGTTGTACTTGCTAGAGCTTTGGGTGTGGGCAACTTTGATAATTCAGGATGTATGCTCACCCTGGTTAATAACTGACTCTGTACCATGGGTGACCATATATCCTGGATTATGTCTGGAGTGATTAATAGCATCCTCTCTTGTATTCAAACATCCTGATTTGAGTGATAAATTATGAGGTCACCTTTTTTGGGGGGTGGGGGTGGGGGTGTGGTGTACCAGGGATTGAACTCGGGGGCATTCTACTATTGAGCCATTGTATTTTATTTAGAGACAGGGTCTCACTGGTCGCTTAGCGCCTCACAGTTGCTGAGGCTGGATTTGAACTCGCAATCCTCCTGCCTCAGCCTCCTGAGCTGCTGGGCTTACAGGCATGCGCCACCACACCTGGCATGAGGTCATCTTTTTTTTTTCTGCCCCTTGAAACAACCTTGTAGAGTGCATAGGTTATTATTCCCATTTCACAGAAGAGGAAAATGAGGCTTAGGGATCTTGGGTGACTCTCAGAATTCCATTTTGAGAGAATCCCATGAGAGATCTTTCTGTTCCATCCAAGGTTCATGTTCCTCATTCTATACCTCAGTGCACCCTGGGAGACCCCTTTTCTAACTTCACCATAGTGCTGTTTCTCCCACACTCAGGAGCGAGCACAGGGTGAGTGTAGGTGTATTTGGGTAAAGCCAATGTTAACTGTTTGCACCCATTTTATTTCTTCCCCAGGCTCTGTCTGAATTTTCCATCCATACCTTTATGCTGAAATGGTTTCAAAGCCTGTGCTCTTCCACAAAGCTAGAAATTGTCATCCTTCTACCAGAGAAAATAGCATGAGACCTCATCATCCCTTTCTGTTCTAGGGCTTTCTGATCCCTTCCTTCTCCCTGCTTCCCTGACAGGGAAACCCCTTCCTCCTTCTCTCATCCCAGGCTTTATGTGAATAACAGACCTGAGTATAGATGATTTTTCCCAAGGTTGTGCACCATATGATCAAGAAGTCCTGCTCTTCTCTGTGTACTTCATACCATGTTGAGCCTGGCACATAAGGCAACAGTAAATGCTTATCAAATCAGTATTTTATGTCCATTTGGGTTGATGCAGGTAGAGGCGCTCAAGAGCCCTTCTCTTTGACCCCTCCTCTGCCAGGTGTGCCCCTGAAAGCCTGAAGACACGTACTTTTTCCCATGCCAGTGACACCTGGATGTTTGGGGTTACGTTGTGGGAGATGTTCACCTATGGCCAGGAGCCCTGGATTGGCCTCAATGGCAGTCAGGTGAGGGGCTGTGGATGTGTTCCCTGTTGGATGGGTGGGGGGTAATTCTGTCCCTGGTTCCTAGCCTGGTCTTTTTGGAATTGTCTGATATCTGATGTACTCCCTCCTCTTTCACACCCCATGTTTGTTCCATCTATAGAGAGCTGAGCAAAGAGAGGGATCACCCTAGTAGATCAGGGGAGAGGAGAAGTGGGGTTGGCTCTCTTTCATTAGTCTTTGCTACATCCTGCTGTTCTGAGGCCACAGGCCTGGGCATAATGGTCTGAGACTCTGGGGATGGGCCTTTCCCCAACAGATTTCTTCTTTGGAGGATAGATAGGGTAGCTAGCAGTTCCAGTTCTAGGATGGTCTGGAGGGAAGGTGGGAAGTAAAGAGCTGAGAGTTTTGTCTGTCCTCCAACTATGTACTGACCCACCATCAGATTCTGCATAAGATTGACAAGGAGGGGGAGCGCCTGCCCCGGCCTGAGGACTGCCCCCAGGACATCTATAATGTTATGGTCCAGTGCTGGGCTCATAAGCCGGAAGACAGACCCACCTTTGTGGCCCTGCGGGACTTCCTGCTGGAGGTGAGGAAGAGGTCTTGTCTGCTCACAGGATCTGGGGTATCTAAGCAAGGAACCACCTGAGAGTTAGTCTCAGGGTGGTCAGTGACCTATCTTTGTCCCTAGGCCCAGCCCACTGATATGCGGGCCCTTCAGGACTTTGAGGAACCTGACAAGCTACACATCCAGATGAATGATGTCATCACTGTCATTGAGGGAAGGTAGGGCTGAGTCCTGCACTGGGATTCCTTGAAGAGCACAGGTTGGACGGGCGTTCCTCTAAGGTTCCCATGGCAGCTCTTGGACTGGTGGCAGGCCTGAGTGTCAGTGTGCCATGGCAACCGGCCTGAATCAGCTTCCTGAGAGAAAGGGTCAGGATGTGGATGCTATAGTTCAGATGGGATTTTTCTTAACTCTGCCTCTGTTACCCTTGTCCCACTGGGCCCCAGACCTGGCTGTGTGGATCAGGGCCAAGCTGCCATTATGTTGAGGAGTAGAATGTTTCCTAGTCTAGTGTTAAGGCCACGCAAGCAGAGCACTTGACTCCTGGGTATTCCTCCTCTCATCATCCCTCTCTGCCTTTCTTCCTTCTTCTTCAGCATAGACTCCTTTCTTTTTTTTGGTCTGGGGATTGAACCCAGGGGCATTGTACCACAGAGCTACATCCCTAGTTTTTGGTTTGTTTGTTTATCTTGAGACAGGATCTGGCTAAGTTGCTTAGGGCCTCACTAAATTCACAGCATAAGACTCTTGACAATCCACCCAGGTATATCTCAAGACCCAAAAGCACCCTGTCCTTGCCTAGGTCCACCTTTGTCAGCTGTCCATCCATATGGTTGCCAGTCCTACTCCTTTCTTTTTTGTCTGCTTCATATCATTTCCACATGGCCCTCTCCCAGGGCTTCAGAGTCTTGGGTTTCCCTCTATCCTCAGCTTGGGACTTTCTTCTTCCCATTCTTCCAAGTCACGCTTTTCAGGACTGTTTTTCCTGCCCCCCACTGGCTAAAACTCAAATCTTAGACTCACACCTGAACCCCCTGTTAGTAATTCTAGGGCCTGCCTTGGAGGCCTCGCCCTCTTCTGGCTCCACCTTTTGTTATCTGATCCCCAGGGTGTCTGAGGAACTGGTTAGGGCAGGCTAGAGATGCCTTTGGGGCAGGGGCTGAGTGTTGAGGACTGGGAAGACTGAGGCAGAGGGAATTCCCTGTTTTGTCCTCTTCTGACACAAAATCAGGCAAGGATATGTGTTCCACAGAACCCTTTCTGCCTGGACTTTGGGTTGGTGGGCCTGTTGGGGCAGTGGTTAAATCTTGTGTCCCATGGGGACTGGCCAGTGGAGTAAGTCTCTGGGTCTGAGTCTGAGTGGTAGAACAGGCCCTATATTCCCTGTTCCTCTGCCCCAGGTCAGGGCTCCCTCACCTTTGGGCCTAGTATCTGGGATAGAATGACATTCTAGCAGGTTGCAGGGGTACATATGGTTGGGGAGTTAGTTGTGGTAGAATAAAGCAGAAAATTGCTAGGAGAGACCTGGAGTATAGGAAGAAACAATCTGCGTGTTTATAGCTGAGTTGGCAAGGAAAGGGTTTATAGGCTTGGCACTTTGGAGAGCAATGTGGAAATAGGAAGATTGAGGGTGAGCCCTCTCTGGAGGTACCTAGCAGGAGCTTAAACCATAAGTCTGGGCCTCAAACCAGTAGGCCGGTGGGAAAGGGTAACCCCACTCCAGAGAGCCTTCGGCCTGACCACCCCTCCTATGCTCCTGTAACTCCAGATTTTTACCACCCCCATCTCCTCTCAGGGAGCCTGGGGGTGACTCAGGAGCTTCCTGTGTTTCCTGGGTGTGTATCTCTGGAGCTGGCGCCCTGGGTTACTGTGAGCAAAGCAGGCTGCGGGAGGGGTTGGGGGAGCGGCTTCTCTTGGAAGGCTGTCTTAGGTGCACCCTGTCCCACCCTTCCGTCACAGGCTTTGGTTGTATCCAGCAGCAGGTTCTGCCACAGGTTGCTGCTGTCACCAATGGTTCACCACACAGGGCTCCTCCTCCTGGGCCACCAGCCTTAACTAGGACAACAGTGCCTGCCCTGGGTCCCTGGAGCTGCTCAGGAGGTGGGAGGTGAGGGGCAGGAGGCCACAACAGCCGGTGAGGCTTTGGGAGTGGGCCTTTGTGTTGGTGGTACCAGAGCTTTACCAGAACTCTGCCCCCTTGTTTTCTCAGTCCCTGAATATCTCTTTGTTTGTTTGGCTTAGTCTGTCTCCATGTCCTAGGGTGCATGGGCCATTTGTGTCTCTGTTTCTCTGGCTTTTACCCCTCTCCTTATCTCTTCTTGGTTTTTTAATTCCTCCTTGCTAAAGCCATTTTCATTGTGTTTCCTAGTTCAGAGCCTGGGAAGCCACTTGTCTGTCTCCAGCTCTGACTGATTCTGTAGGCTCAGTGCTTCTCAGAATGCCAGGCAGTGGGCAGAGAATACATCTTGGGGTTTGTGAGCTGAACTTAGGCTTTGTCTAGAGTTGGAGGGCAAATGATGTCTGGTAGTAGTCATTTTACATTCTATTTTTACAGAAGTGATAAAGGGCTCAGAGTTTGAAATCCATTTTCGGGTCCTTGGCCTGGCCTGGCCTTGAGCCTCTACTTTCAGTGGAGGTGTGTGTTGGGGAAGGCACTAAATATCTGGGTTATCCTGGGAGACCAGAGGCTCCCAGAGTCAAGGGGCAGGGATAGGGTGTGTATGTGTGTGTGTGTGTGTGTGCGCGCGCTTACGCTTAGGTGATGATTTGTTAAGCCATTTCTGAGCTACCTTAACCTGGATAAGAATTAGGTGCTGAGATTTCTAAAGCTGGGGCATCCTTAGGCAGTTCTCAGCCCAGGCCATAGTTTCCTATCTTCTCTGCCCTAGGGGATCTGCTAGGAAGCCTGCGGGAGGGCAGCAGGAAGTAGAAAGTTCTCAGTGAAGGTGCTGGACCTTTTTTTCACTCACCCCGGGCTTTCTCATATGTCTGCTTCATTCATTGTGGATGGCTGGCTTGGCCCTCCAATCAATGTGGAGATTTTAATCTGTGTATGACAGGAAGAGAGGGTATGGCTGGAGCAGGCTGGTGGGAAGGGCTAGCCTTGGACCTGTGGGCTGCTGGCACCCAAGTGAGCCCCAAAGGCATATGTGGGATGTAGCATTGACCATCTTGGAATGTTCATTTGAGCCTTGTCAGGAGAGAATACTGCCTTTGAGTGTGCCTGGGTGCAATCCCAAAAGACTTCTCTTCTTCTAGTAGCAAGCATGATTTTGAAAAATGATGTTGGGACTCTCAGTGGCCATGGGATTCTGGCCTGGGCTATACCTGTAATAAGGGCAGGTGGCTTTGGTGTCTTCTTTCACTCTTAGAAGTGGGTTCAGAAGGAGGCATCTGTGGGAGGAGCTGGGCTGTGTTGGTAAAAGGAAAGATATAGAGGGAATGACCTCTAAGTGAGCACTTCTAAGGAGGTGTGGAGAACAGTCCCACAGCCGCCCCCAGGGTGGCAAGGGGCTACCCTATAGAGGGCACCACCAGAGAGCCTGTGGTATTAGGGGGAGCAGCACTGGGGCCTGTCTTTCTAGGCTGGTGCTAATCTGCCAGCTTTCATGGGTGGCTCTGTGTGTGGTGGGAAGCCTTTTTCTCCTACTTAGAATGGCCTTGCTATTTTCAGATGGGTCTTGTCCCTTTTTTAGGGTACTGTCTTCTCTTCTTCCTTCCTTTCCTGCCCTTCCCACCCTGAAGGCAGGGTGTAATCACAGGGTTGCTGTGTCTGGTGGTGGGCCAACCAGGCAACCTTGTTTACAAGGAGGCTAGCTGAGGGAGCTTGGCACCTCCTCCCCTGGCCCCACTTCTCACCTCCCTAAGGACTTCTGTGCTCATGGGGTGTGACCATTGGTCTCTAGGTCAGGCTGTTTTGGGGGTCACACCATCCCAGCTGGGCTGTATTATCTCAGGGAGCAGTGGGTCCAGGTGCTCTGGCATCATCCCTTCCCCCATTCTCCTCAACCTCTCTGATATATTGCATTTTGGAGGATACGTTTTGTGTGTTTCTGGCTGTGGGACCGGTGACATGAGGGTGAGGGAGTGACAGGACAGGCAGCATGGTGCCACATGTGTCATAGCAGCCTTAGACCAGATTCTGCCCATGTCACCAGGTATGAGAAATTCTAACAGTAGGTACAGACATCTCACAATCTGTCACAGCATTTGGGGTATTGGAGTGTCCAGAGGATACCTCTGTTCTTTTTTAAAAAAAATTTTTGTAGTTGTAGATGGACAGTATACCTTTATTTTACAGAATACCTTTATTTTATTTGTTTACTTTTATGTAGGGCTGAGGATTGAACCAGTGCTTCATGCATGCTAGGCAAGCGTTTTACCACTAAGCTACAGCCCTAGCCCCGAGACTTCTGTTCTTTTCCACTTGTCTGCCTGCCTGCCATCCTAGCCCAGGCCTGGTTTAGGCTGCATCAACATAGGCTTTGTGTCTATGGGCAGAGAGAGTGAAGGTCTGAGGGTCCTATAGTCTGCCTACATTGTGAGTTCTGAGTTCCTTTCTGGAACTCTCATTTTAATACAAGAATAGAACTCCCAAGGAGATGGGCAAGGTGGCAAGGACCCTAGTTCCATAACCCTATCCCTTAGCTGTAGAGAGCATTGGCAGAAAGAAGTCTTGGCTTGCCCCAGGTGCTTCCAAATACTTGAAGGCCTACACATAGAAGATGGATTGTGGTTGGAGGGCTCCAAGCTCAGTGCTAAGGCCCACAGTGCCCCCTTGGTCCTCTGCATCTGTTAAAACTTCTGGAAACTGGCTGAAAAATGAAATCTGATGCCGGAAGAGGACTAGAGCCAGGCCTTGCCAGAGGAGTAGGGAGGCAAGATAGTATTGTGAGAGGAGTTGCTGGCTTTGCAAACTTAATGACTGGATTTGAATCCTGGGTCTGCTGCAATCGTTCTGGTAACCATAGGCAAGTTATGTCACTTGTTGCAACCTGTTGCCTTATTTGTAAACTATAGGAAAAGCTGCCTGACCCATCTTGGGATCTTAGGGTAAGACTGTGAACAAACAGCCAGGCCCTGTTCAGGGAGTGGCAGGTCATGGGGGTGCTACTTGGGGAAGTGGGATAATGCAGACTGTCTAGTTCTAAAGCCTATCTCTTATGTTGCTGTTCTGCCAAGATGGCAGTTTCTGTTGGCAAAGAGCTTGGTTTGAGAAGGGCCCCACTACCTGGGCAGTCCCCTGCCCCCATGCCAGGTATCTACCTTGTCATCTCTGTTGGGCAGGGCTGAAAACTACTGGTGGCGTGGACAGAACACACGGACGCTGTGTGTAGGACCTTTTCCTCGCAATGTGGTGACCTCCGTGGCTGGTCTGTCAGCCCAGGACATTAGCCAGCCCCTACAGAATAGCTTCATCCACACAGGGCATGGCGACAGCGACCCTCGCCACTGTTGGGGCTTCCCTGACAGGATTGACGAGTAAGTACCTGGACAGGGCCACTGGTCCTACCTGGCCCAGGGATCCCAGGATCAGCAGCCCCTTACCACACTACACATAAGCTCTCATGGGCTCCTTACCCTTTGTATTTGTCTTCAGCCCCAGATCCTCGCTACTTTTCCCTCCTGATTCTTATTTTGCTTTAGGGAAACTGTAGAACCCTAAAAAGCTCCGCCTGAGAGTCAGGATTCCCTCTCTTCTGTTTTTGAGTTTATTATGTTATTTACTCTGTAAGATGGGCACATTTAACAGATGGGGTTATATATTCACCTATGAAGTAAGGATTGTAAGTATAAGTATACTCAGGTTTTTTTGGCGGGGGGTACTGGGGATTTTGAACCCAGGAGCACCCACTGAGTCATATCCCCAGCACTTTTTAATATTTTATTTAAAGACAGAATCTTGCTGAGTTGCTTAGGGCCTCACTAAGTTGCTGAGGCTGACTTTGAACTCAAAATCCTCCTGCCTCAGTCTCTCGAGCTCCTGGGATTAGGTGTGTGTCACTATGCCCAGCTGTTAGTATATTTGAATTAGAAAGCATTGCTGGGGGAAGGGCAGCAGAATAGAATAGACAATATGATTGATGTATGTACATTCCATGAATGTATTATATGTTAAAATACATTCTGCTGTCATGTATGACTAAAAAAAATTAAAATAAATCGTATGGCAAAAAAAAAAAAAAAAGAAAAGAAAAGAAAGCATTGCTGGGCGTAATGGCACACAATGTAATCCCGGTACCTCGAGAGGCTGAGGCAGATGAAAATCAAGTCTGAGGCCAGTCTCAGCAACTTTTGCAAGATTTTGTTTCAAAAAATATTAAATAGGCTGGTGATGTGGCTAAGTGGTAAAGCACCCTTGGGTTCAATTCCTGGTACCAAAAAAACCCCACAAAAATAACCAAAAAACACAGGTCATGAATTACCAAGGTTAGACCCACATTTTACTTGGTGGTAAGGTTACCAGGGCCATGGCCATACGGCCTTCTGGCACATTGGCTTTGGGAAGATAGATTTTGGGAGCAATTTAGTTTGAAAGCTCTGACCTGTATTTGAGCAGTTTTCCTGCTGCTGGTACCAGAGTCCTGGCAATGTGAGCCTGCTAGGTCAAGCAGAAATGCCCTTCTTCCCAGAATCAGGGGAACTGTCCTGGAGGGAGCTTCCTGCAGGGGAGCTTCAGAGGGAACAGCAATGGCTGCTAGCTCCCCCCACACCATAACTTACTATGTCTGGTAGGGGGTTGTAGTCTCCTTTAAGTAAAGAGTAAGGTCACTGGGAGGCATCTGGGAAACCACAGAAAAATCAGGCACTTCCTGGGTGCCTCCCCCCTAGGGAACCCCCTGGCAGCTTCTCCTGCCAGCCTTCATACCTGTTGGCAGCCCTCTCCCCTGCTGACTTCTCCTAAAGGGCATGGTAAAGCAGTTCTCCACCCTGCATGTCCGGCACACTGGAACACTAGGCTCTGAGGGGGCTTAGTCAGGGTCTCTTTCCTTATAAAACTCAGGCCACGGCCTGTGAAAGCTGGGGCAACCTCCAGGAGGAGGCCAGTGCCCTCTGTCCCACTCCTGGCATGTCATGGCCAGCCCAGCCCCATTCCTCTGGGCTTTAATAAGCCCCAGTGACTAAGTCCCAGATACTAATAGTTGGCACAGGGGCTAAGGATGAATCTGAAGTAGCGCAGGTGGCCCAACTTCTCCCCCAACTCCTGTAGTTGAGCAGAAGGATGCCTTCTGTCACCATGACCAGGGGGGCTGGAGCTCAGAATATTTCTGCCCCAGGCTCTTCCAGCAGGGCCTGCAGGACAGAGGAGTGTGCACCGTAGGTAGCTGCCTACAGTGGTTTGGGTGTAGGTGGGGAATTGAAGACCCTCTCTGCCCTTATGGCAGAAGGCTTTTCAACTTGGGTTTAGATGTCATTTCTCTGTCCTTTTTCCATGACTCTTGTCTGGCTACAGCTTACATCTATACAAGGGATCAGGATCTGTGGATTGGGAGTTGGGAGCCCAGCCCAGCTGTCTCTTAAAATGAAGGGGCCTTAATGTTGTTTTACCCTGGACACATTCAGGATTTTATTTTCTGCCTAAATCCAGGGGATAGGCTCAGAATTTCTTCCAGAGGTTTCCTCACTGCCACTACTTTACACTCTGAACTGGCTCTCTCCCCACAGACTGTATCTGGGAAACCCCATGGATCCTCCTGACCTGTTGAGTGTGGAACTGAGCACCTCCCGACCCACCCAGCACCTAGGAAGGGTGAAAAGTAAGAGCCCTCCCACATCCTGGTTCCCTTGTTCATTAGCTACCCAGGAAGGGACACTGTCTTCTCAGGACACCCTGAGCCTGCTGTTCTTCTCTGGGGACAGCTGGGTCAGGGCAGCAGGCGGGACAGCTGTGACCCTGGCTCCGACTGGGCGTGGGGTGGAAGAAGGGAGGCAGCTGTATCCGCTGAGGTGGGCATCCTGGGGTTGGTCCTGTATCAGCCCTGCCCACCTCAGCTTCCTCCTCCCTCCTTCCTCAACGGCCTGCTCAGATCCTGGCTTTCCTCTCTTTCCCCTAATCCTGCTCTTCTCTCCTGAGCCAAAACCACCCCACAGGCTCCATCTCAGCCAGGAGCCTCATCCATCTCCTGGCTCCTGTCCTGTCATTCTGAAACGCGGTTGTCCCCATCCTGCTGCCCATTTCCTCCCATGCAGTTGGGTTTGTATATTCACTCACTTCTATTCACTTCTCTCTCCCCCCCGCTCACTGCACCCTTTCCTCCCTCCCTCCCTCTCTCCCTCCCTCCCTCTCTCTCTCTCTCTCTCTCTCTCTCTCTCTCTCTCTCTCTCCAAATTTTCCGGCTTTGTCTCACTCTCTTGTCTTCTGTCTTGCTTGGTCATTCTCCTCTCCTGTCCGCATGGCCTGTCTTGCAGGGGAGCCTCCACCTCGCCCACCTCAGCCTGCCATCTTCACTCAGAGTAAGTGGGGCTGCTCAGGATGCCTTGGTCCCTGCCCTCGCCCCCTTTCTTCTCTCACTTCTCCTCTCTTCCTGGAAGGTACAGATCCCTGGTGGCTGGCTTGGGTGGGAGGGGAAAGCAGGTGTGTGCTGTGAGCTTTTGCTGACCTGGTCCAGCATGCCTGCCTCCCTGCTCCACACCCCCAAAATCTAGGTTTCACAGCAGATGTGTGGTCTGGCACCCACATTTACCTTGCTCTTCCATGGCTTAGTCCTGCCTCACTCCCTTTCAGGCCTGCAGAGGTTGTTTGTGGTGGTGGTTCAAAAGCTCTGTCTTCCCAAAAGATAGCTCCTGTTGCCCATGCCTGCACTAATGGTGTGCTGTAATGGAGATGGGGATACGGGTTTACTAACAGGGCCCAGAAGCAAGGGTAGTGGAGGCCTTGTGTTGATGGGGGAACATCAGAGACAAGACACAAATGGGATATGGCCTGCTCTAATTTAGGTGGAGGCAGGGGGCTTACCAGCCCTCGTAGAGGGCTGACAGATAGCAAGCTCCAGTCTCCTGTTGAGTGGGGTCAGGTGTACACTGAGAATTTTGCAGCTAAGAGGCATCCTTTTGAGAATTGGTGGTGGAAAGTTGGTGAGGGATACTTGGCTTTCTTACATCCTGCCTTCCCTTGTCTCCCATCCCTGTCTAACACTGCCTCCCTGTTGGGGTCTCCCTTTCCATCACAGAACCAACCTATGATCCTGTGAGTGAGGACCAAGACCTACTGTCTGGTGACTTCAAGAGGCTGGGCCTGCGGAAGCCTGGTCTGCCCCGAGGGCTGTGGCTGTCAAAGCCCTCAGCCCGGGTGCCAGGCACCAAGGCAGGCCGCAGCAGTGGGGGCGAGGTCACGCTCATTGACTTTGGTGAGGAACCTGTGATTCCAGCCTCTCGGCCCTGTGCACCCTCTCTGGCACAGCTGGCCATGGATGCCTGCTCCTTGCTGGACAAGACCCCTCCACAGAGCCCTACACGGGCACTACCACGACCCCTGCATCCCACGCCTGTGGTGGATTGGGATGCACGCCCGCTTCCTCCTCCCCCTACCTACGATGATGTGGCCCAAGACGAAGATGACTTTGAGGTCTGCTCCATCAACAGCACCCTGGTGGGTGCAGGGCTTCCTACCGGGCCCAGGCAGGGAGAGACCAATTACGGCTTTGTGCCAGAGCAAGCGCGGCTCCCTGCTGCCCTGGAGGACAACCTGTTCCTCCCACCCCAAGGTGGGGGCAAGCCTCCCAGCTTGGCCCAGACCTCGGAGATCTTCCAGGCACTGCAGCAGGAGTGTATGCGGCAGCTGCAAGTTCCAACTGGCTCACTGGCCCCCTCACCCAGCCCAGGGGCTGATGATAAACCCCAGGTGCCTCCCCGGGTACCCATCCCCCCTCGGCCCACACGCCCACGTGTTGAGCTGTCTCCAGCCCCCTCAGGTGAGGAGGAGATAGGTCGGTGGCCTGGACCTGCCTCTCCTCCCCGCATACCTCCCCGGGAACCTCTGTCCCCTCAAGGCTCTAGGACCCCCAGCCCCCTGGTACCACCTGGCAGTTCCCCCCTGCCACCCCGGCTCTCAAGCTCACCTGGGAAGACCATGCCCACTACCCAGAGCTTCGCTTCAGACCCCAAGTATGCTACACCCCAGGTGATCCAGGCTCCTGGCCCACGCACAGGTCCCTGCATCTTGCCCATTGTCCGGGATGGCAAGAAGGTCAGCAACACCCACTATTACCTGTTGCCTGAGCGCCCGCCCTACTTGGAGCGCTACCAGCGTTACCTGCGTGAGGCCCAGAGCCCTGAAGAGCCGGCCCCTCTGCCTGTGCCCCTGCTGCTGCCCCCACCCAGCACCCCAGCCCCGGCTGCCCCCACTGCCACTGTTCGACCAATGCCCCAGGCTGCCCCAGACCCCAAGGCCAACTTCTCCACCAACAACAGCAACCTAGGTACCCGGCCACCATCCCTGAGGGCCACTGCTCGGCTGCCACAGAGGGGCTGCCCTGGGGATGGGCCAGAGGCTGGCCGGCCAGCAGACAAGATCCAGATGGTGAGTGCCAGGCTGGCTTTGAGGTGAGGGGGTAGGGGCCCAAGGGATCCAGAGAAATGGGCCTGAGTGGTGCTGATGGGTGGGTGTGCCCAGCTGCAGGCCATGGTGCATGGGGTGACCACAGAGGAGTGCCAGGCGGCCCTGCAGAGCCACAGCTGGAGCGTGCAGAGGGCTGCCCAGTATCTGAAGGTACTACCACCTCCTGCCTGCTCTCTGGCATGCAGGGACCCTGAAGAGTGGTTCTACTGCTCCTAGCCCCCACCTCCTGGCTTTGACTCCTGCCCCAGCCGGTCTCATGGTATCACCCTCTGCCCCTCAGGTGGAGCAGCTCTTTGGGCTGGGTCTGCGGCCACGGGTGGAGTGCCACAAAGTGCTAGAGATGTTCGACTGGAACCTAGAGCAAGCTGGCTGTCACCTTCTGGGCTCCTGTGGCCCTGCCCACCACAAGTGAGTGAGCCCCACACTCTGCTCTATCTCCTTGTCCCAGGAGGGGTCCCTGGAGCATGCCACAGGAAGGAAAAATGCAACACCTGAAAGGCCACGCACAGCCAGGTGGAGATAGGGCTTCCCAGCTGGGAGTGTAGGCATACAGCCCAGGAAACAGGCAGTTTGGGATGAAAGTGATTCCTTCTAAATGAATTTGGACCTTGAGCCACTTGGTTTCCACTGGAGATGATGAGTACAAGAGGAATTTGCAGCCTCTGGATGAAGACTAACTTCCCTAGCTCCTCAGGGAGCTGTGTGCTCCAGGGAGCAGGACTTTATCCAATGATTTGAACAAATGTTTCTCGCCTCTTTTTTCATGTTTGTGTTTTAACATTTCAAATGTTAATGCCTTTTGGGGGGGGATAGGTATTGGGGATTGAACCCAGGGGTGCTTTTACCACTAAGGTACATCCTTAGCTCTTTTTTTTTTTAATTTTGAGACCAGGGATTCACTAAGTTGCTTAAGCCCTTGCTAAGTTGCTGAGGCTGGCTTTGAACTTCTGATCCTCCTGCTTCCCCAGACAGTTGCTGGGATTACAAGTGTAAGCCATCGTGCTTTGCTGAATTTCAGTCAAATGCTAATGCCTTTTTAAAGGAATATCCAACCAAAACAACAACAACAAAGTCGCCTTCTTTCCTGTCAAAACCTTATATTTGTATATAACAAAATATATAGCATATAAATGATATAATGATATATAAATATGTGTATGAAACTTAAGTCCAAAATATTTTTGAACAGGCAAATAAATGAAGCATAGGCATCATTTCAGGAAACGAGCACTGGTGGGATATGGGGTTCAACTTGCTGGGCTTAGGAGGTGGACAGTCCAGGTGAACCAGGCTTTGCTGCTCACTGATGGTGTGAGCTTGTGCACCTTTCTGAGTCCTTGATTTCCTCATCTGTAGTTTTTAATCAGAAGCAATTAGAAAGGTACAAGAAGTAGATCTGTCATACTGAATATGCAGGAGAATCACTAAGTGTTAGATATCATCTCAGGATTATTCTTCCTAATCTGCATTCAGATAAATTTGGGATTTATTGTCTCTGTTGTCCTTGGATACACCAATACACAATAATGCTATTCTCTTAATTTATTCTTAGTTTATTAAAGAAAAAACATTCCAGGATTATAAGTTCCAAAATTATTGCCTAGAACAATCAGTTTTCAACTCATTTGCCTGGTGCCTAGAGGCAGTTTCTTCCTGTGGCTCTCTAGTGCTCAACCACACTGGAGTTTCCGTCACCTGTTTATCTAACCCATGTTGATGGAGGGATTTTTTGATTCTTTCCCATTCTTTAGGCGCTGAGAGGTGTCTGGAGATTTGAGATTCTGCTCTGAAGGAATCACTTGAGCCTATCCATGTGACTAGGGTAGGGAGACACTCCCACCCAGACCTGGAGGAACTGCTGCTATCTGCTGCTCCCAGTGGACAGAGTAAAGCCAAGGCAGCAGGAGGCTGAGAATCCTGCCTTGCCCATCTCCCCAACCAAGCACTGACCCTGCACACTTTGGTTTAGACCTCAGTGTCCCAGCTAAGAGGTGGGAAGGAGCCCTGTAACAAGCTGGGGGCTGCCTCAGCAGGCCCTATGTGTGACTTGCCTCTAGCTCCAGTTTTTGACAGGGCCTGTGACAGGGGTGTGTCCTCAGGCCCTGCCCAGGGGAACAAGACTGAGAGGAAACCAGGCATGTCCTGGGCAGGGAGGATATATTGACCCTACAGAAAGGTGGGTCAGCACCTGGAAAACTCTAAGGGCTGGGCCCTTTTCCAGAGAGCCCCTGGCAGTCAGTTGGGGGTGCCAGACAGAATGTGACTTGTGGCCTCACCGTGGACATGTTATGAGGCTTGTTTGGTCTTAGAATCTTGTGCCTGGATATAGCTCATGGTTGTTTAGGAAGCAGAGAAGGGGTGCCAGACCATCTTCTGGCAGGGACCAGGGCCGTAGGCCCCAGGGTTGTAAGGAGACCAATGGAGCATCTGCCCTGGGGGAATACCAGTGCTTCCTGTTTGATCCTATTCCACGCCCCGCCCCGTGCCATCCATATTTTCCCACCAGCCTCTGTGGCCAAAGTTGCTGCCCCAGCTATCGATACTGCTTCTTCCAGAGAAATAAAGTTAGTTTCTATTTTATGTTATTTACTTGTGCTTGCCTGTTTTTATGCTTCTTTGTCAGCAGCTTGAAAGCCCCAAGGCTCCCCAAGTCATTATCATCTGTTCAGGGCTCAGGCCTTGTAGCACCACCTGTAGGCAGAGGGAGGAAATGCAGGCCAGGGAAACCCCAAGCCTAACCCTTAGCAGGGCTGTCCCAGAAGACAGCCTGTGCTTTTTTTGGTTTGTTTTTGCGTTTTAAATTTTTTGTTTTGGTAATTGTAGATGAACAGCATGCCTTTATTTTTTTTTAATGCAGTCCTAAGGATTGAACCTAGTGCCTCACACATGCTAGGTAAGCGTTCTGCCACTGAGCTACAGCCCCATCCCCAGCCTGTGTTTATACTCCTTGGTTTACTTTAATGCAGGATATGCTGCAGGTGAGGGGACAGCCACCAAGTTAACTGGAGCTAAGCCAAAAGACTTAGTAACAAGGAAGGCTTAATAAAGTATTCACATGGTTCAAAATTGAGAAGGTATTAAAGAATGTACAGTGAAGCATCCCACTCCAGATGCCCACTTCCCTCCCCAGAGCCTGCCTTTATCAACCATTTCTTGTGTATTCTTTGTTTCTTTTAAACTTACAGTAGTTTGAAGAGCTTCATAGCAATATTCAAAGAGCTTCCCCATATGGTTATCTGGGTTACCATATCTCTTTAACCATGCTCTTTTTTTTTCAATTTTTAAAAATTGTTGCACAGTGGTGGGATTTATTGTTACATATTCATACACGCACACAATATACTTTGTCCAATATCATTCCCCAGTATTTCCCCTTGACCTCCCCCTGCTGTCCATTTTCTCTACTGATCTCTTTTTGTTTCATGAGATCCTCATCACCACCTTTCTTTTCTTTTCCCTCTCTAGCTTCTATATGTGAGAGATAACAAACTACCTTTGACCTTCCGAGTTTGACTTATTTAATATTTTCAAGTCCATCCATTTCCTGCAAATGACATAATTTCAGATTTCTTTATGGCTGAATAAAACTCCCTTTTGTATATATACCGTATTTTCATTATCCATTCATGTGTTGGTGAACACCTAGACTGGTTCCATAATTTGGCTATTGTGAATTGTGCTGCTACAAACATAGGTCTGCATGTATTGCTATAGTATGAAGACTTCAATTTTTCAGGATGATACTGAGAAGAGATATAGCTAGGGGGTCATATGGTGGTTCCATGCCTCGTCTTTGAGGAACCTCCATGCTGATTCTATAGTGGTTGTACTACTTTAAGGTCTCATTAGTAGTGTCAAAGTATTCCTTTTTCTCCACATCCTCTCCTGCATTTACTATTGTGGTTTTTTTGTTGTTGTTGTTTTGCATCAGGGATTGAACCCAGGGGTGCTTAACCACTGAGCCACATCTCCAGCCCTTTTTATATTTTATTTTAGAGACGGGGTGTTGCTGAGTTGCTTAGGGCCTTGCCAAGTTGCTGAGGCTGGCTTTGAACTCGTGATCCTCCTGCCATAGCCTCTCCAGCTGCTAGGAGTACAGGCATGCACCACCGCGCCTGGCCTTTGCATTCTTTTTTTTTTTTTTTTTTTTTTTTTAGTTGTAGATGGACACATGCCTTTATTTATTTTTATGTGGTACTGAGGATCGAACCCAGTGCCTCACACGTGTTAAGCAAGAGCTCTACCACTAAGCCACAACTCCAGCCCTGTTTTTGTATTCTTGATGACTGCCATTCTGATTGAAGTGATGAAATCTCAGGATAGTTCTGATTTCCATTTATTAATTGGGTTATTCTTTTTTTTTTTAGTGTTAAGTTTCTCAAGTTCTTTATATTAATCCTCTGTCAGAAGAGTAGCTAATGAAGATTTTCTTCATTCTGTTGGTTCTCTCTTCACATTCCTAATGGTTTCCTTTGCTTTACAAAAACTTTTTAATTTGACTTTATATTATTTATTAGCTCCTGGCATTATTTCCTGAGCTTTAGGGGTCCTATTGAGAAAGTCATTGCCTATGCTTGTATGCTGGAGTGTATACCTTATATTTTCTTCTAGGAGTTGCAATTTCTGGCCTAATTCTTAGATTGTTGATCCATTTTGAGTTGATTTTTGTGCAGGGTGAGAGATAAGATAGTCTCATCCTTCTAAGTATGGATAACCAGTTTTCCCAGCATCATTTGTTAAAAAGGCAGTCTTTTCTCCAATGTATGTTTTTGGCACTTTTGTCAAGGATCAGACGATTGTAGATTTGTGTGACATAAATAAGTTACTGATTGGCAGAAATGGTGTGGGTTTGACTATGTGGGTTTGTCTCTGTGACTTCTATTTTGTGTTTCTGTTTTTATGCCAGTATCATGCAGTTTTAGTTACTGTAGCTCTTTTAGTATAATTTGAAGTCAGGTATTATGATACCTCCAGCATTGCTTTTTTGGCTTAGAATTGCTTTGGCTTTCTGTGTCTCTCATCCTTCCAAATGAATTTTAGGCTGTTTTTTCTAGTTTTGTGAAGAATATCATCAGTATTTTGATGAGGATTGCATTGTATATTTTGGTAGCATGGCCGTTTTAACAATATTATTTCTGCCTATTCATGTACATGGGAGATTTTTCCAACTTCTTGTGTCTTCTTCAATGTTCCATAATCATGCTCTTCTTTTTTAAACCTTTATCTTTATTTATTTATTTATTTATTTTTATGTGGTGCTGAGGATCGAACCCATTGCCTCTCATTTGCTAGGCGAGCGCTCTTCCACTGAGCCACAACCTCAGCTCCAATCATGCTCTTCTTAATGAAGAGATATTTTGGTTGTTCTCATTTCTTTGTAGTTACAGCTATTGCTACATAAGTCACATATGTGGGCTATCTTTCATTGGCAAGTCAATCAGAAGGAGGAGTTATCGGCGGTGAAATTCCTGGGTCAAAGAGCATGTGCATTGACGATGGATGTTGCTAAATTGTCCTCAGTAGAGAATGTAGTGCCAGTTGCCATACCAGCAGTGTGTGAGAGCTGTTCACATGTTAGGGAACTTTCTGATCTTTGTCAGATTGACTGGCAGAAAATGGTGTGTTTAGAGTTTTGATTTGCATTTCTTTTATGAGTGAACACACTTTAAGTTGAGCCATTTGTATTTTCTCTCTTGTGAGTTGTCTGTTAATATCCGTGACCCATTTTTTTCCCCTCCCCATCCTCTCCACGACCCATTTTTAGAAAATGAGATTATTAATCAGTTCTTGTGTTTGGGGGAATTGCTACATTGAGGACATTAGTTCTTTGAGCTTAATGTATTACATGGACTTTAAGAAAAGAGGTAATCATAGAAAGTAAGATGGGAGCTTCAGTTTATTAAAATCAAAGTGGAAGCCATTCAGGATGGGTTGTGGCCAGTAAGCTTTGAGTATTGCTATTAGACCTGGCATCTATTTTCAGCTGTGTTTCATCACATAAAAGATATTCAACCAGCCAGACACAGTGGTGGATTACACACCTGTAATCCCAGCCATCTGGGAGACTGAGGCTGGACTGGGAATTCAATGCTAGCCTGGGCAACTTTGCAAGACCCTGTCTCAAATTAAAAAACCAACCAACCAACAAACAAAAAACAGTTACCCTTTCAGGGCCTGTAAACTGAGGGAGAGCAATTCCTGCTTCAAAGGATGGTTGTGGGGACTAAAGGAGGTCACAAAGGTAGACTTTTTGCCCAGTGCATGGGCCATAATAATGTGCCCACTAAACTGTAACCATTATAAATTTTATTTTTCATATTCCTGTCTGTTTTTGCCAATTAGCAACTTATTTGTATCATACACCTACCACATGTGCATAGAATTGTGTTCTACTTTTCCCATTTTCCCTTAAAAATTCTTAAATGGTTTATTCTTTTGCTACACAGTTGTCTTAGTTCAGGAACATTGTTAACTGCACTTAAACATCAGTTTTTTTGTAAATGATGGCAGCCTTTGTACACTGTAAGAGGGTTTAAGAATCTGTTAGAGGCTAAGGTAGGAAGACTACAAGTTTGAGGCCAGCCTGGCACCTTAGCAAAACTATCTCAAAATAAAAGAGCTGGGGCTGTATCTCAGAGGCAGAGCTCTTGCCTGGCATGTACGAGGTCCTGGGTTTGATCTTAGTACTACAATCAAACAAACAAAAAACATTCAAAGGAGTTTTTTTTGTTTTGTTTTTTCAAGGGTAGGGATTCCACAGCATCTGGAGGTTTTTCAGGATCAGGAGATTATGTCATACATAGTTTCCTAAACCCTAGGGTTTCCTGCTGGTTGTTTTATAATCTGCCTGCTGCTCTTGCAAGCATCTCCGGGATTTACTGAGATCTTAAGGGAGCATGTTGAAAAAGCTGACTCTGCTTTGCCAACATGGGGAATCATCTCAGGATTTATTGGGCACTTTGTGTCGAACCCTGATGATGGGGCACAAGCCAAATAGACAGTCTGTACCCCTGGGGAGGAATTGACAGTCTTTTGGGAACCGTGATATCATTATAGCAAGATGATGCGTGCTGTACAATCACTCTGTTCCTGAGGAGTTACTCCCCAGAAGGTAACCTTGTGCTGACTTGATGGGTAAGATGCTAAGAAGTTGAGGGGGTGACAACATTGCAATGGGCTGCTGGAAAGGTTGGAGTCATGAACTGGCTTGTCCCAGAGCCTACTGTTCTCTTGTTTTGGGGTGGGTTGGAGGCAGCTCTTGAGATCCTGGTGAGTGAGGCAGGCTTGAATCAGGAAGATGCTGGTGTGAAATGGCTGAGGTATTTTTTTTTTTAATTTTTGCATTATGATTATACATAACAGTGGGAATTTTTGTTACATATCTATACATGCACACAATGTAACAGTATAAGTTGGTCAGTATCATTTCCCAGTACCTCCCCTTTCTCTCCCCTCTTCCTTCCCCAGTCCCTTTCCTCTATTCTACTGGTCTTCTATTTTTATGAGATCCCTCCTTCCATTTTCCCCCTGATTTTTCTCTATAGCTTCCACATATGAGAGAAAACACATCCCTTGATTTTCTGAG